AGCTGCTATCTTAATATTACAAACAGACACTTCAATTTTATTTATCTGTAGGTATAGATAATTACGAGTATATACCTATACAAAACAAATGTACACTTAATATGGCCAAAAAGGTATTTATTCTATAAAGTATAAGATCAAATAAAAGCTTATGAAAGAGAAGAGTTAGATAATAGTTTTATTATGTATATTATACTGGAAAACGACAGTTAATATAAAATGTATATGTATGTATGTATCAGCACTTTGTTATGTATGTAACTTTCTACTGCTGGGCACGGGCCTCCCTTCAGTACAAGGGGGATCAGGCCGTAGTCCACCACGCTGGCCAAGTGCGGGTTGGCGGACTTCACATGTCTTTTGAAAACTTGCTAGCTTCTCTTAGACATGTAGGTTTCCTCACAATGTTTTTCTTCACCGTTAAGGCAAGTGGTAATAATGTTGGAAATGATTCGCACATGAAAATATCAGAGGTGCGAGACCCGGGATTTGAACCCGCTTCACTCGGTTTCTCAGAAAAGCGCGTTACCACTAGGCTGCCACTGTCTAAATAATAATGTCTATATAATATAATCAAATGTATATACCTATACCTTTTGATATATCAAAAGTATAATAAATAAAATAACAAAAATATGTTATTTATTTACCAAATACTATACCTACTGTAAATAAACATTGAATTAAGTAAATAATTATCTATTATATATAATATATATTACCCACTTACATAATATAATATATGTTTATTACATATATTACTTCTAGAATCTTAACGAATTAATGTTAATGTCGTTAAGTTTACACATGTCTTAATTAATGAACATTTAATTTAATTAACATTTGGAATACAGTTAGTTGATTTCTCTGCAATAATTTAATTATAATTATATAAAGTAATTAATTATAAATATTACTTTTTAAGATTAATTTAATTATTATATACTTAATTAATAATTATGATTGAATAGAGCTATTATTAGTTACTTTTCATTAAGAAAGAAAACTCGTTTCATAGACTTGAGTTTGGACAAATTAAAATAACTTTTTAATGTCAAAATATTTTAAATTCACGTTAAATAGAGTAAATATATTAATAATAGTAATGATGTATTGCACTGTGATGACGGGTTCCGCTATAGGTTTTAGCGATTAGGAGTCTCATAGAACGGTAATGTTGAATATTATTGGACATTACCGAGCTTATAGTATCCTGCCCGTGGACGGCCGGCCGGCCCCATGATGGGTTATCTCAGCGAAAAAAAAAACAATATTAGTGTTTGTATGTAGGTATATAGACCTAACCAGCAATATGATAAATAATTTTACTTGAAGAATTATTATTAAAAATTTACTGAATCTATTTTACATAAATAATCTAAATAATTTACATCAATAATATTGCTATCGAAGGGGTTCTTTGATATATTTAATATTAATATGATCAAAACTTACATTATTTCATATTATTATTAGGTATCTTTAAACTTGATTTTGTAAAATATTCATATAAATATTTTTTAAACATTTAATAAAAACACAAAAAACAAAGCATTTTGTCAAAATCTTCGTAAATATAAATATAGTTTAACTAATTTGCACTCTACTCTATCATACATATTTTGATTAATGTCGGACATTGCTTATAGCTGGAATGTAAGAAAATAATCTAGTAATTTAAAGTAACTAAAATGATATTTATTGACTGAATTTTAATAACAATAATTTAAATAATTTAGAACCATTTACATTTTCATTTTTTTTTACGAAAAGCTATACATAAAATATCAGACTTAGACTTAGAATAAATAAACCTGAGTGTGTCATTAACAAAGTTTTAGCAAGTAGGCAACAAAAGAGAGACTAATAGAGCCTTTAACGCATCGCATAAACACATATTTTACGAGTCTCTACATACTACATTTTAAAATGTGACAACCTGAACTAACAAGGCAACGAAATATTTAATATATTTATGTTTATTTAAACACTAGCTACTCACCCTCGTTTCGCTCGGGTTCGTCCCTAACTTGCTTTCCATTACAAACTTTCATCCCCATTTTCACCCTCTTAAGAGAAGATTTTCGGGATAAAAAGTATCCGATGTCCTTCCCAGAGCCTCAAACTATCTTCTTACCAAAATTTCATCTAAATCGATTCAGTAGATTCAGAGATTACATCCTACAACGTCACACACTCACAAAGTCACAAATTCACAAACTTTACCTCGTTATAATATTAGTATAGTAAATTTCATTAAATAAGATCCGTTTTTGTTGCTACCCAAAACTCTACCCTGTCTCTACATAAAAAACCAATGGTATAACGCTCTGTTATTTGAATATAGAACAAGCGCCATACGATTCATTAATATCTCTTGTTTCCACAAAGTGGACATAGCCGTATGTCACAAATATGGAGTTGGGTGCGTGTGCGCAAACACCAGTCAGGTGAGCGACGACACGAGCGGCTCGCTTTGTACCACGATCAAAAGGACCGACGCAAATATACAATACTGCATACGAAAACGTCATAACTTACGCTTAAACATACGATTTACTCCCTTATATTTTAACTTAAAGAATATATATTATTATTTTTTATATTTCACTTAGAATCTTTTGACTTGAAGTCAAGTGGCCGGCTGCCTTACAATTAGACACCTTGTTGAGTCTAGGAGTTCGCTCGTTAATGGTAAGAAACGTATGTGGCATTGAATTCTTGCGTTGAAAGGTTATGCCTTAATTGAGTAATATGGTCGGATGCGAATCGAATTTCGTAGGATTTCGTGATTCTAATGAGGTAGATTGGTACTGTTGATAAATATACTTAGCATTGTTGTACAATAAGGCATTCATATACTTATACCCACATAAAACTACTTATATGGAGAATAATACTTGATTGAAAGTATTTGAGAATCAAGTTGTGGTTTTGTTATACTAAATTGTTATACTATAAATACTCATCTATAAGTCGTAAGAATCTGCTTCATTGTATACAAATAAAGTACTTTAATAATAATTTTAATGTTTAAAAATATCCTAAGCATTTTTTTGGAAGTCTCCATCTTCGAATTAGTGTTTGTGCATACACACAGTAGGTACCTATTAGACAAAGTTTGATTTTAAGTAACAACACTCTTTATTTAGGCATGTTTTTTCTAAAGAAGAGTACCTACCTACCTAATGTTTTAATGTTATTTAATAAATTAAATTAATTTATATATTTTGATTTAGTTTCGATTTCATTATTTTATTCTAAACTCTAGAACCTATAGGTATCAACGTAAAAAATGTATAGAGCTTATAAAGTTTATTAAGTAGGTACACACTAGTATTTCGATATAACAATTATTATAGCTTAGTTATGTCGAAGGGTCAAACCATATACCTACGCGATGACTAAGAATTGTTACAAGAAATAAAAAAAATTACTTATAAGGCTTAACATTAAAATGTTAGTGTTAATTGCATTACTTATCAGTAAATTATCTCGATTACATATATTTTACGTGCATGGAAAAAAACTAATCACATAATTATTACCTGCACATTTTATGCATTAGTGATTTTTTTTCTCTTTTCAACCGACTTCTTCGAAAATGGAGGAGGTTCTCAATTCGTCGGAATCTTTTTTATAAATGAGCTCTAACTCGAAGGCAAAACTATTTTACTATCATACTCATATCTCCATCAGAACTGCTCGGTAGCAAGTATTGATATATTATATTAGTATCCGGATTTTAAATACTTTCATATAAATAATCTAAGACTTTCAAAGATTTAGAACGGTACGACAGTAAGAAGTAGGTTATGTGATTTTACCATAAATTACTTAATTATATACATACATATATGTTATGTACCTAGTGACTTTGTTATAATATAAGTTAATAAAGCCTTTTGATTAAATACTAATTTAATTTCTTTAGAATAGATTTAATTTTAATATTAGTAATTGTAAATGATTTATAGGTACCTACCTATACAATAGCCGATAGGTACTAAATAGTAAATATTTATATTTTTGAAGTGAAAACTTCTATAGGGAAGTTTGGATGGGGAGTAAATTCATGTAAGTCGTCATCAAAATAGTCACGTGATGTGTTAAGTGTTAACGCTAACACTGAGAGCGCCGATATATCAAAACCAGATAAATGTAAAGAGTTTTAATCTACAAATTTTAATTTAAGATCCAACAATTAATTTGAATATCCAAAAATAACAACTATTTATATAGTTTTCACTTCTGTCGGCAGTCCTCATGACTGCTTTTTTATTTTTTTTATTTTATTTTTTAGACATTATTACAAGATGTACGTATTAAATTTTTCAAAATCTCTACCTATATATGAACATGTATTCGTTTTATCTAATCGAATACTATACAAAACATTTGAATGCTGTGTGTATGTATGTTAAAATCACTCTAAATTAAGCAACAGTTACGAAACTTATAATTTTGTAATATAGATTTACTAGATATATATAACAAAGAGAATGTGAACAAAGGCCCCAATTTGTATAAAGATTTGCCTACGAAACGCAATTACAAAAGCAATCCGCTCACCTAATAGCTTCAACTACGGACGCGGTGTCACCAAAAATTTGCATTACCAACTCTACATTAAAAACGTCGTAAACCCCCTAACACTTACTACGACAAAGTTGTATAATCGAGCAGTTTTCTATACAGATAGAACGCTGTCGCTTTTTAATAGCTGGGAGGTTCGTACAATTTGCGATGATAGCCGATCGATAGCAAAGGCTGAGCGGAATAAGCCCCGCCCAATGGGAGGCGCAAAGCTGCTACGGCAGCCGACACAGCCGCCGGTAGAAGCGGTGCCTTTGATCTCTCCCCTCCCCGCGCTGCCGGCCTCGATAACGAACTTACCAACGCACACAAACTCATATCCCTCTGCGAGCTCTCGCTAGCCGGTTGTCAGTAACCGGTTTAGTTAGGCAGTGGCCAGTGTTTGTGACTGTGTTTTTGTTTCTATGGATTGTACTGTTTTGGAGATGGAAGACAAGCCGTACAGTGTTGATAGTTCTGACGATATCAACATTGAGGAAGAGGAAGAAGATCATATCGAAGAGAGTCATAGTAAGTGTTGTTTTATTTATATATACAATTGTTATATTTATATATAAATATTTTTTAGTTGTTTAGTTTCATATTTTAATTTAATTTTCTGAATTAGCGTTTTGTTATAGCTTTGATAACATAGTATGTATATGTTAGTAAAGTTAAATTAATTTTAAACATTTTTTTTGAAATTAGAAATATTTTCATTTTATGTAATTAAATAATTGAATTGACCGTTCGTTACTTATATTTTTTATTTCTTAATATAAATAAAATATGGGTAGCTATACCTGAAATATTTTTTATTATGCAATGTTAAATAACAAAATTCTAAATGTTGCCTGTATTGTGTTCACAGGTTACCCCCCAGACTTCCCAATAGAAGCTATTGTGAAATTAGAGAGACCCTCCCCGCCTTTGCCGACGCCACCACACACTCCCACTGACGATACGCCTCCCGCTATAGTGGTATCTAGGCACCATCCAGCCTGGTCTTCTCAGTATCCTGTACAAAATAGACCAATGCCGAACCCTTACCCTTACGATAAACAAGTTCCTAACTATACCTACCCCAGTATGCCCTACGTCCAGCCACAAGTTGCTACACTCCCTCCGTCGGCACCTTACCACGCGATGTTAGTTAACCAGTGGATAAGGAACGCTGCATTATATCACCACTCATTACGCTACCCTTCAATGGCCCAAAGAATGCCAGGAAGAAACCCACCACCCATGCGAGCCCCGGGCGTTCCTGGGACCCGGCCGAAGAAACAATTCATTTGTAAATATTGCAATCGTCAATTTACAAAATCCTACAATCTACTCATCCACGAAAGGACACATACCGACGAGAGGCCCTACTCATGCGACATTTGCGGAAAAGCCTTCAGAAGACAAGATCATCTCAGAGATCATAGGTAGGTACTTAACTTTGTATTATATTATAATTATTATTGTTTGTAATTTATTCTATATTTGTATAATAGAGGCATAGATAGATAAGAATCGATGCGTGCTCACTAAGCATAAATCTCTTACCAATGTTACTAATCAATTACAATCAAGCAAACCTCAGATTTAATTTAATGTTTCCTTTCTAATACCAACAACGTGATTTAAGGCTTGTTTCAACGAGGCTTTGTTGACGATAACAGAAAAAAATAAATAAAATTAAAAGTGTAAACCTTTTTGTGAGGTCGCGAGGCGGCCGCACGCGCTTTTACACGACCGGTTTAAGTTTTTTACGATCACCATATCTGTCTTGCTCCGCCACGGAACAAATTACATGTTAAATTTCTTTGCTTTTACGAGACAATTCTTAAATTATTCTCTACACATATTAACCATATATATCTACCAATTATCTCAGCTCACATAAAACATCTAGCAGTCATATAACAGTCGAGCAATATAACCTCATTTGAATGTTTACACTATTTGTCACGATTTTCTCACCTCTTAAAGTGAAAGTGTACATAAGCTTATCCTAATTTTCTTTTTTACAGGTATATCCACTCAAAAGAGAAGCCGTTTAAATGTACAGAATGTGGGAAAGGTTTCTGTCAGTCGAGAACGTTGGCGGTACACAAGATCTTACATATGGAAGAGTCGCCTCATAAATGCCCTGTTTGCAACAAAAGTTTTAACCAAAGATCGAATTTAAAAACTCACTTGTTGACGCACAGTGAAGCAAACAAACATCATTTGGAGCATTTAGAAGGTTGTCAAGAAGTTTCATCAACTAGCCAAGCTTCGGAAAGCCCTTTATTGGATCTTTCTCATAAGCCTTCTCCATCGCCACAGCAATATCAGCATCTCCCCGAGTCTCCAATAGAAGCCCCAAAAAGACCTTTAGGCTTTTCAATAGAAGATATAATGAAACGCTAAGATTAGGATAGATTTAGTTGAAGGTGAGGCAAGTTATTCCATTAAGCAAGTACGACGTGAAGTTACGAAACTTGTTTATAGATAGATTTTACCCAATCCGTCGCTTACAAAGTTAGAATTTTCATGTTTGCGTATATTTAAATAGTTTTTAAATGTTAAACCAAAGAAATATGTCATTTCTTTCAATTTTTTTCTATAAAATTTAATTTATGGTATTTTAAATGATATGTAACTCTTCTAGCTCTGATTTCGCTTTATTTAACTCTTCCGTAGTTTCTAATCGTAATACTTGATCTTCGTTCAAAGACTGAAATTGTTTTATTATTGTTACGTTTCTAAGAGATTTATTTATTGTGATAGTTTCTCAAACTTAGATTAGGGTTTAACTAAAGTTACCAAAAAGTATTACCTTTTTATTTTTGTTTTATCAGTTCATCCCAAAACGTGTGGCTATGATGTCCCAAATCATGTTCAAATTTACATGTACCTTTATACTTTAAAATTAAATAGCTATAATAATATTAAATTTCTGTAAAAATTTTCTGTATATAATAATATTCTTATCGTTCCTGTAAATAATATTTAAGTTAATGTAATTTTAAGTTCACGAGGCTATTGAAAGAAAAATATAATGATGAAAAATCAATACATATACTTCCCTTGTTTTATTTCCTTTTTGATTATAATTTTGCTTTTTTTAATTTAATTATTAAAAATTATAGAAATAAATTAAATCGAAAAAAATAATTTATTAATAACGTTGAAAGGAATTGCTAGTTACTTACCAGAATCTATGTTAGTTATTTTTGCCTTAATATTATACGTAATTATTAGGAACTAGATTCACCCGCAACTCAACAACTGGTACGTCGATTAAAAAGCTATATTCTTATATTAATCCAGTATGAGTTGTCTCCATTCCGAATTTGACACAAATCTGTTGAGTTGTTACAGATTGAAAAAGTGACAAACACACTCTCAACCTTCTAAATAACATTAGTGGAAAAATATTATTAAAAATACAACTTTGATCTCATAACATAGTAATAAATCATTTTAATTTTATTAAAGACTAGCATTGCCCGCGGCTCCGCCCGCGTTCAGATGACCAAAAACCAAATTCTTAGGTTTTACTCTTACATTGCAGTTTTTGTATTTTTTCTCAAAAGATATTTTCCCGCGGTAAAAGTATCCTATATATTAACCCGGATAAACAGCTATCACTATACCAAATTTCATCAAAATCTCTCCAGTGGTTTTTCTGTGATGTGGTAACAGACAGACAGACAGACAAAAAATCTAAAAACTATAGATTTGGCCTCTGTATCGATAATAATGACTATTTCAATCAGATTTCCCAAAAAATATTTAATGTACAGATTCGTCTTAGTTAGAATTTTATTATATGTATGGAAATGTATAAATTAGCTCAGATAAAGTAGAGTAAGTAAAAATATACATATAAAAGTTACTTGAAAAACATAGTTCACGAACGATATTTATTAGAAAGGCCTGTACGTGTATGGCATCATCGTGCGATATTACAAACACCTATTACGAAGGCAATGTAACCTAGAAAATTAATTATAATCATACGTTAGGCGGATGAATGAAAGTTGAGTGAATAAATGCTATGAACGCGATGCTATTAGAATAAAAAAAAAATTCTACAGAATGTTACATAAAAACAAATACAAATTTTATATATTTAGCCACATATTATACTACATTATAATAAATAAAAATAATACTTATTATATAATTAAATATTTTATTATATACTTTATACAATAATATATGTAATGAAAGCATGTAAGGAATCCGTCAAGTAATTTGGATTTTTGCATTATAGTGTAGTGATATCTTTGTAAACTAATGAACTACCAGTAAGACAAACCTACCTGGTATACATAACTATTGTTAAATAACTATAATTTTAGGTACTTAGACAGGTAGTGCCAAATATCAAATAATTATTGATGGGTATTATGTAAAACATTCATCGTCATAGGGTTGAAATGTTACGCCATCTAGTAGAGTATGCTTGAACTGTGAAATGTCACTCTCTGCAACGCGATGTCGCTACGGGTCTTACGTGAGCAATTTCAAACGTTTTTAGGCCTTTTAACAGCGAAAGAAAAACCAACTTTCTGTTTTAAATATATAATTCTTATATACTTACTTCATTCTTAAACTAAATAATACGATTCTAACCATCACAATGACAAATATTGCTTATATTAAGTTGTCACACTCGATGAATCATGGTATTAAAAAGCTTCAAATCAGATTAGGTTAAAAAACTTAAGCTATTTTTTTCTTTTAGATCAACATATTTTGTTTTGTTTAATCGGATATTCGGACTGGAATTAGGAGGATAGGATTGCCTAAGATTAGGCAGGCAATTGACGAACTACGTAGCTTTGACAGATGGTATCTTGCAACTTTTGGTCTGTATCCGCAATTTGCCAGTCAATGAAAATTGCACAAATCCGTTCTGATTGAGGGCTAATCGCTGACGAAATCGTTCGAAACGCCGGCTTTCCCATGACTATTTTGAATGTATTCCGAAATCGATCTCGATAATCGTTCGAATGTTCTCTTCACTCTTTTGTCCCAATTAAAAGCAATTCAGTGAGGATTAAAGTCGAATTTGGAAGGGCTTAGCCGCCATATTTCAAGTGATTTTGCCTGTCATGCGCCCGCGCAGACTGACTGACGTTCGCGTTGATTTATGAGCACAACTTATTGATTTATCGAACCTAATTAAGGCAGTTCTATTCAATTATATAGATCGATATTATTAATTAATAGGTAGCTATATATGAGATATTTCAAACCAGTAACTTTAAATTTTTTATATTGTTAAGGATCTTATAAAGTAAAAATTATAGATGTTTCGATATTTCTGCTTCAGATAATAAATATTCGTTAATTATTGGTTGTCTTTGTTTAATTTTGAGAGATTAAAACATTTTCCAAATATAAAAAATGTGATGATATAAGAAATAAGTTAAAGATTAAATAGTAGAGGTATAGAACGATTCCAGTACAGTTTTCAGAAAAATATAATCGGACTATTATTATTTATGAGAACAATTGTATGTCTGTGCGTGTGTGTATGTGTTCTAAAGTAATACAATATAAGTATAGATTGTAACCTGTAGTAAAAAAAAGATTACCAGTAAGAACCTAGGGTGCTACCCGAGCGGATAATAATAATAATAATATTTTTTTATTGAACAATAAAACACTAAACAATATTGCATACAAAAACAAACATACATATATTATTATACAAAATAATCTTAGTTTTAAAGCTCATTTTAAATTAGGCTGTGTCGACACAAAAGATATGGTAGCCTCGGTTGACATATAAATTGCCGGATAAATTGCTAGAATAATATAAAAGTAAATAAAAAGTATAGTACATTCACTTGAGAAAGTGTTAATTTGATTTCCAAATTTTCTTAAAATATTTACTAGATATAATGTACACATTGCGTGATAATGCAAAGATTTTCTAAAACAAAAACAATAAAATTACTTAATGAAGATCACATCGCCTCCAGCAACGTAACGACCATCTGAAGTAGCACTAGTTTTGAATTATTCTGAGATTTATTACTTTGTAGATATAATAGTATGATTATTTAATATCATATGATTGAAAGATGTTTTGAAGGAGATTTATGTTTCGCTCTAAGCGAGGTTTTGGTAGATTTTGATTGTTCTGTTTTTTAAAAATAGAATGGATATTTTTTGCATCTGGCGTTATAATTGTAGAGCAATTTGGGGTCTCTATAATATTTTTTATAGCTTAAATACTCTATCCTTTTGCGGTATAGTTGCTTCTCTCATTATCTTTTACTTTTCATAATAATGAAAACTTTCAAAAATAATTTATTAAAATACCATTAGTGCACAAAATCGTGATAATTGCACGTATAACCTACGATTGTAGGGAGTACTTTAATAAAACACGAGTGGTTTGATATATTTTTTTTATTTATAAAATAGTATGCATAGTCTCTAGTACATTAGGTATATATATATACGACGTATAAAGTCTCCTTTATACATACATATTATTTACTCTACCTTTACCTTAACCTTAGCACGAGAACAACAATAATGTAAGACTCTATGATAAGCTTTTTCTTTTATTTGTCCAAATGAAGTGAACAAATTATGTATATTTTCATTCCCTTAGTTTTACTAAACTACAAAAGTAAAGTACAAGTGTTAGAGTCAAAGAAAAATGATGCAGAGTATTACTTAGCAAAGTAAAATAACCCTTTGTTTACCTGTTAAAAATATATAGAGCTAAACTAAGTTTAATTAGTCCAAAAACAAATCTTTTCAATTAAAAAAAAAACATACATTTAACTTTTTCCAAATCTCTACATAAGTGTTGCTTTTTCTAACGCCTGTTAATCATACAAGAATATCGCATTAGTTAATAGCGCCCCAACAAAACCTGGTGAACCATCGCACGCGCCACCTGGAACATGCGATATTGATTGGCAGCTGTCAATCATCACATTGGATATAATAGGTTTTATTTTAGCCAATTCTCGGGGCGCACCTACCGATGAAATGTAAAATCGATCGATGTAGAGTTTCATATTAAACCATGGAGTATGGGATCTTGTTATGACACTTCATATATATTTGAATTAATTAAAAAATCAGTACAGGTAATTAGACTGCTAAAAGGTGTTTAGCCTTAAGGATATTATACCTTGAAAATATTTATAACTATTAGAAAAATAATGATAAATCTAAATGATTATAAATATAAATAGTCACTTTTGACGTAAAGAGGTATTTCGACTTTAAAATCCCAAAAGAAATGTGCTCTTACCGATGGAACTTTTTTGATTTATATGGCACAGTATTTTGAACCATACGTAGGTATAACATAATGAATGATTGACGAAAACATCAATACCTCCACTTTTTAAAAGTCAAATAAAAAAAAAACAATTTTCCTT